GTAGGCACTGATCTTTGTTTCTCTGTGTGTGTGAGTTACTTCGAGGTCCAGGCTGCCTTTAAAATAATGCACCTTTTTGATGTGGCTATGAGCAGTGGAATCTTGGCGTTCCACATCCCTGAATGATGCTAATTAATCCTTTTAGCCCTGATAGCTGGAGACTTGTGCCTCACTAGGACCTGAGAAGAGAGAAAAGTTTTCACTTTTTTTTTTTATAAGTTTCTTAGTTTTGCCTTTTTGAGGTTTCTTTTAGGAGGGACAGTAGTTAAAGAAGTCACCTCACAGCTCTTCTAAAGCTCCCTAATTGTGTGATCAAACACTCTGCTTTTCTTCATTTGATTTACAGAACTGAAATGCATTTGCTTTGTCCAACTGCAGGATAAAATGAGTACTCGAAGTAAATGCTCTGTTTTCTGCTGTAACAGGTTTGTGGCTTTGATTAAGATTCCTGTTTACAGGCCAGCCTGGTAGCTCACCAGACTATTGTTGTCATTAACATGCTGACCCTTGGCGATACCACGGGAGAGTGTTTCTCCCTGCTGAGGATGGCAGTTTGCATTGTTCAGGTAGTCAGATATAATGATGCATTTGAACAGGGTGTGCATGTGGGGGAGGCTTGAGTAATCCCATCTCTTGGTGGAGTAGGAAAGCGATGGTGGTACTAATTATTAACTTTTTTTTTGCCTGCACCATTCACTCAGGGTCAAGTTGCATAATGATCCCCATCCTGTACAAAAGTGATTTTTCAGCATGAGGAGGGTGATTTCCTGCCTAAAATCCTTCTGATGGATTTTTAGCAGGACTTGTTCTCATAGCACATAAGTTCAGATGATGCAAAAAGTCTAAGCGAAGACTTTGTCTTTCTTGGTTGTTTCCCCCCCTTCTGGGCTGGCAGTTTTGTGCAAGGATAGTTGTGTGGAAGGGGCAGATGAAGCAGGAGTGGGGAAGAGGATGTTCCTCAAAGGTTGTGCCATTCATGGTGGGTGATGGCAACATCTAGGCTGTTTTTGGTGTTCCATGGCCTCCCAGGCACTCCCAAGGGCCCTGGCCCTACTAGGAACTCAAGCAGGCACAAGACAGGAGACTCCCACCCCTGGGATGTAGGTCTGCCCTGATGCTAAGCCACTAAACACAGGAACAGAAAAGGAAATACACCAGGAGATAAGTATGACCAAGTTTTTCCTTGTGCTTAGATTCCCTAACATCTTTCAATTCATAGAATATAGCTTGAAATGTTCCTTGCGGTCAAAAGTTCTCATACTCTTGATAGTTTCAGACACTTATTACTCATTTTCAAAGTGTTAGTGCCAGTGTTAATGTAAGTGGATTACTCCAGTGAAGAATTGTGGGGAGTGTATATGTGTTTTCAAGTAGATAAGAAAACATAAATCTCTTATGTTTAGTACTACTAGCGATTGCAGTCTCCTCAGCCAAGGGTCCTTTAGTGGGTTGGAAAGGAGCCCCTTGGTTTGTTTTCCTCCATTGCTGAGGGAAAGAGATATTATAAATGGTGATTGCAAATTCATTCATTTGGTCTTTCCTGTGTTGTGTACTATAATGAGAATTTCCTAGCGTTCAGGTCTTGGTTTTGCTGAGGATCCAGCAGTTATGAGAACATGAAGCTGTGTGGTGCTTTTAATATAGACAATGTAACTTTTCCTGATAAATGCCCATCCCCTCCCCCACAAGCTGGAAAGCAAAATGACAAGTACTGTAATGTTGAAATTGGATCCAAAAGGATTTAGCAAACTGAGCATTTGACATATTTAGCATCATCGAAGTTCCTTCCTCTCATACTTCAGTGATGCTTTGCTGATCTTCTGATTAGTCTGATACGCTATTTCTCTTAAATCACCTACACTGTCATTCCTAAACCCTTCTGTTTATCTATTCTTGGGTCACATTCATGCATATACTTCATGCGTATAGGCCTAAACTGACTATTAGGAAAAAAATTCTAAAGTTAAAATGTGTGTTTGGTCCATACCAGGCTGTGCCATTGATTTGTTCAAGAATTTGTGATACTGTGTTCTTTTCCCTGGGCATTGCCACTGAAAGCTTGTAGCAAAGTCAAGTAAGATGTTTAACAAACCACGTCCTATCATTTTTAGCTTTGCCACTGTACCCTTGTGGCTGTGAGCCAGAGACAGATCCAAGGCCTCCTCCCGTGAGGTGCAGCTTTGCCTGTGTTTTGTGTGTACGCGTGTGTAGCCAGTTCCACATTTTTCTCTCTTGCAGTAGGGTTAGCTAGAGAAACGTGTGCTGAGCTGAAGAGAGCAATGAGGGACTGAGTTTTGAAAGGGGAAAAAAAAAAAAAAAAAGAAAAAACCATTTGGGATTTTTTTGTGGAAGGTGAAGGTGCTTCTTTATTCTGGGGCCATTCCTCCAGGGAGGAAGAAGGTGGGCTGTGCTGGTGAATGAAAGCCACAAATGTCAGTGTCCCAGCTCAAGTTGGTCAGAAAGAGAGCACAGCTTGCTGTGCCACTTGATATCTGTCTCATATGTGGTGTTGCCATAGGCTTTTGAATGCCAGCTGCAATAATTAAAGTCAGATATTGTTGCTGTGTATTACAGGAAAAATAAAGGAAAATAAAAATTAAATCATTTTGTAACTCTCTTTTAGAATCTGCCCTAGCACAGGTCATCAGAGCTCACAGTTGTGACTCTGGCAGGAGATTGAAAACCAGGGGGATACCATGCTTTCAGTTAAAATAGAAATATGGTTAGAAAACGAGTTGAAAAAAAAAATTAGTTTAACATGAGTTAAAAAACATAAACAGAGGGTTTCTTTTCAGATTTGTGTACTTAAAACAACCAAAAGAAACTGGCCTGAGGACAATGTCTGAATTTTAGCCTTGCTTTGTCTCCCACTCCTTCTCAGTCATCCTTGTTCCCTGGCATTTTTTAGCAGTTACCGTCATTCTCCATGTATTAACGCCTCTCTGCACAGTGCCCATTCCTTTTCCTGGTGGGCATTTAACAACTCAACCTTAGTTCTGAAGTGTCAGGGTGTCTCTGTGGCGGCAGTTCCACTCTGTGCCCGCTGTCTGCTCCTCCCGCTTGCCCCGCTCCTCTGTGGGGTGGGCAAACCAAAGCAAGCCCCGCATGCGCCATCCTCCTGAGCTCAGCCTGCCTGCTGCTTCACGGGAACTTGCCCGATTTTGCAGATGTAGTTATTGAGATGGATCACAATAGTGAGGCGCCTGCCAAGCTGTGCTATTTGCACAAACACCCTGGCTGCAGTTTTGGTACGGCGGGGCTGGACACGAGGATTGCCTCGCTTCATGGTGCTCGTTACGGCACATGTCGCTTCTGAGGGGGAGAAAACCATTTTTAAGGAGTTTGCCCTTCTTCTGGCAGGGGAAAACCATACTAGTGGGGAAAACCTAATTAAGACCAGTTGTACTCAGGTCTTAGCAGAGTGTTTAACTTAAGGCACTCTGAGTAAGTCCCATAAAAATCAATGGGATGATGTAAAACAAGTCAAATAGCACCACCTATAAAACCTAAGTAATAACCCTGTCACGTAAGCAGCCTACAAACCCTTGAGAGGAACGCAGGCTGCCAGCATTTTCAGAAGTGATGATGATTTTAGGTCAATTTCATTTTGGGATGCTCAGTAAGAGTCACTTTGTCAGGAGGTCCTCAACAGTCCATTCCCTGAAAATAAAGTGTGCCCAGCACTGCATCCAAAAATTAAGACATCCTAAATTATAAAAACTGCTGGCCACTCATATGCTTATTTTAGGAACCTGTATTCTTCCCCAGTTTCATCTGCAGGATTCATCTTGAACTGAATTGGTATTCATCAAAAGGAGAATTAAAGTCCTCAAACCTGGTTCTCATTTAAACTATGGCCACTTTTGAGTGGTTTTGCAGTACATAGGCACTGTAAAGTACAGTTTATAACCACCCTAATACTCTGGAGCAGTGCAGGGTGGCCTCAATAGAAGTGAAATTAAGTCTGTAACCTGCTAACTTGGTTCCCAAAGGTTGCTCTTTCCATGCAAACTGCCCTGCTGTGGCAGTCTCCATGCTTCTGGTGGCACCAGCAGTGTGCACAGCCCAGTGGGACAGTTGTTTGTTTCAGTATTCCACTTCTCACATTTCTCCCTCAGCTGTATACTTCCTCCTTCAAGGGCTTTATTGTTGTAGTGTTTCAACATCATTCTCAGCACTCTTAAAGACAGAGTTGGAAGGCTGCTGTCTGCTGATGTGCAGCAAGGGGAGTAAAGCTGCTCTGGCAGTTTGAGAATAACAAATCTAACTGTCCTGAGTCTTCTGAAGGAAAACTGAAACATAGGTGGCCAGATGGTATTTCTTTTTCATTTAAAAATCTTGGTTTCAGGGAACGTAATTGATGCCCTCTGGCCTTTTTTTTTTTTTTTCCCCTTGTAATTTTGAAGAGGCTCCCTTGTGAAACAGCAGAGCTTTGCTTGAAACTGCATAGGACATGAAGCTGGTTTTTAATCAAGTAACAAAATCCACGGCTTGCAATAGAAGGTCTGTGCGTTGCATGTATCAATTAATGCTTATTAATCAGTTTTTGCAGTTAGTTGAACTGCAGACCGTAGTTGGAAGCTATTAGGGAGAGAGTTGTGAGAGGAATACTATTGCAGCACTACACCCGGGTCTGCTGTTTGTGTCCTTTGGAATCAAGGTGTTTGTATAATGAAGTTGGCATGTTGATATATGATCTATTTTTTAATGTCATTACAATTTTAGTTCCCTCTGTCTTTTTGTCATTGGGTTGCATTTAAGCACAGCAAGCCCAACTTTAAACTTCCTTACTCAACAGCTTTATTAGTTATAACGTACCTTGACCTTTCTCAACATTCTTAAAGAAAAAGATACAGTGTAATGTCACTTTACTTTGCTTATTGTTCTTTGTTGTGGTGAACAAAGCATTTTCTACAGTGGCTATAGCACATAATTATACAGCTTTCAATAGCGGTGTCTTGGCACATATCAAAGTTCAGAAGAGCCTTTAGAAAAAAAAA